TTTGCTAGGAATATTTTAAATATTCCTATAGGGATAAATCAATTTTAAGTTGAACTAGTTCATATTAAAATTTTATTTATTCCTAGGAATATTTTAAATTCTCCTACATTTCATTTATTCCTGCGACATATTTTTGGGTAGATTTTTTCGATTTTTTCAGCTCGAGAGGTGACTCTTATAGATATTCTGTTTTGAAGATAAATGTATTATCGTTGTACAGCACTTATATATGATCACACTATTTTCTGTTTCGTTCTCTTTCTTCTTTGACAGCACTCGCATAAAAGAGACACTGGAAGAAAAAGTATATCCATACAGCAGAATGGAAACAAATGTGTGAAAACGAATAATTTCCACTAGAAACCAGTTTTTCTTTCTTTTCTCGAAAAGTACACTTTATACCAAAAAGCGGATACCAGATTCGGACTCTACGCAAAAAGACGGCTTAGAATACGTATACCATTTCTTTCCAAACCACCCCGATGAAAAATAGCCCGATTTGCTATGTAACAATTCTCCTGATTAAAAACAGATCGATTTTGAATGTTTGTCAAGAATACATTGTAAAGCAATGAAATATTTATTTTCATTATCATAAACTGTTCAACTATACAGCTAGTATAAAAAATAAATCATTAAAACAAACATAAATAAAAAAGCTAATCATATTGAAGATGTATATACGTACAACATAAGAGAAATTATTGAGCTGATTTACTCAATACAACTCTTATTACGTAGCTGAATATGCCCCCAAAACAGTTTTCTGTTCTATTATTTACAAAATATAAGTAAAAACGTCTACACTCTTTGCATCACCCATCGACAATCAGCTCGATCTGCAAAGCTGAATCAGCTATGCAGTTTTATTCGAATACCTGAATCAGAATCTGAACTAATCGACTAATGGTGGCAACTTATTGAGTGCCTTTCATAGTAGTATTCGCCTCGTACTCATAGTTCAGAAGCTTGAGTATCATTTTGTGTGAAATGTATGCGCTTCACTATAGAAGCCACTAGCAGAATATATCTGAAGATAAATGCCTGGATGAATAAGAAGATGAAAAATGGACACTTGGAATTTATAACCATATATATCCACTGGTAAAGAATATAAGCAAAAGTCAGCTAGAAAAATCAAGAATTTGATGTAACAGTGGTACACTTTGAATGAATTTATTGCTACGTAACCGTTTAGTTTGTTCAGGAAGTTAGAGAAATGCATTAAGATCTTGTCACCAAAAAAGTCGTCACCACTTATCTAGAAATGCCGAATGTTCGAAAAAAGCAGTGAAGAAAAAATATCGAAACTTGCTCAAGGTTTTAGGTTTGTCGAACATATGCTTTTAGTTGCTTGGTATGGACACGCACCAAATGAGTACAAGTATTTCAAAGTTCAACAAGATCAAGTTATAAGAAAAATGTTGAAAAACATATTCTTGCACAATATGAGTGAAAGAAAGAAAAGAGTATTACTTTTTCTTCGATTGACAACGTATTTAACTACACTCGATTTGATAACGAAAACCTACTCATGAGAGGTTTATATATGAGCACATCACACCTCTTTCCGAATGTCCGTAGTCAGACATTATCATTCTGAGATCTTTTCCTGACTATTTCATTGAAAAGTGTTTAAACTAGTAAGATGCCAACAATACAAAGCCTCTAATGATTACGAAAAAATATCTACTGAGCTTCATAGTAAGAATAAGAAGAAAATTTATCTTTGTCACATTATTCTTAACGTTTAACGTCAGGTGAGGCATTTTTTCATCATTATCAGTAGAAATATAGTACACAGTACTTTAACAAGTAGTTAGAGAGTGTCTGTTATTTTCGAAAAATGAAGTAATTATTTTGACAGTGGTTTATCATGGCAACACAAATGAGTGACCAATATAATTTAAAAGACTTTGTTGTTTGGTTAGATGCCAATATGGATCAAACAAAAGATTGTATTGATACAAAGGTTTATTTACATGAAGGAATTAATTATTTGAGAACGTTTAATAATCCTGATAATTGTATTGATTATATAACCAGTATTCAAAATGAAAAAGTATTTTTTATTGTATCAGGTTCCATGGGTGAAATTGTTGCCCCATTAATTGATGATATTCAACAAATTCATTCAGTTTATGTTTTTTGTTGTAATAAAGCGAAACAAGAATGGACAAAACAATGTCCAAAAATTAGTGGTATTTTTGTTGATAAACAACCATTGTTAGCAAAAATAAAAGAGGACATTGAATCTTGTTCAAAAGAACTTCTGCCAATGAGTATATTTTCACCAAAAGCGAATGGTGAACACTCTCTCCGTGATTTAAGTAAAGAAAATGCTACATTCATGTGGTATCATTTTCTAATTCGTATTTTACTTCTCATGCCCGCCACTCGTACAGATCTGGCAAAAAATGAAATGTTAGAAGAATGCCGACTATATTATAAGGATAATCAAACTGTCCAGAATAATATCAATAAATTTGAAAAAGATTATAAATCTGAAAAGGCCGTTTGGTGGTATACATGTGACGGCTTTATTTATCGTTTATTAAATAAGGCACTTCGTACACAAAATATTGAGGCTATTTTTAAATTTCGATTTTTTATTGCTGATCTTCAAAGACAATTATGTCAGTTACATCATCAATATCGTCAATCATTAGGATCAGATATATCTCCATTTTTAACAGTTTTTCGAGGACAAGTAATGACTAGCGTCGAAGTTGAAAATTTAAAAAGAAGTATCGGTGGACTAATATCAATGAACACATTTCTAAGTACAACACGTAAAAGAGACGTTGCTGTAGCGTACGCTGGATCTGGGGAATTATGTAATTCAACTTTAGAGTCAGTATTATTTGAAATACAAGTTGACATGAAAATCGAAACAAAACCATTCTGTTATATTAATCAGCTTTCTATGTTTTATGATGAAGAAGAAGTTTTATTTTCAATTGGAACAGTATTTCAAGTAGAAACTATCGAATTAATGAAAAATAAAATTTGGAACGTAAAAATGATTTTGAGTGGTGAACACGATAAACGTTCAGAAGCATTAACAACTTATTTTAAAAAAGAAATTGGAAAATCTCCAAGTGTTTTGACATTAGGATGGTTTCTTAACAGATTAGGTGACTTTGATATGTCTGAACGATTTTATCGTACGCTTCTCAAACAACTACCGTCGAATCATGGCGACGTTGGCACTATTTATAATAACTTAGGATTACTATATAAAGATAAAGGTAGTTGCTTGGAAGCTGTAAAATATTATGAACTAGCGCTTAAAGCTTATTCGACAACACGTAGTGAAAATCATCCACAAATCGGAGCAACTTATAGCAACATGAGTGCTGCTTATCTCAGTCTAAGTGAGTATAATATGGCCGAAAAGACCTTGAAAAAAGCACATTGTATTTTTTCTCATTCCTTAAATCCAGATCATCCATCGTTAGCATCAATATATAATCACTTTGGTGAAATGTATCAAATGAACGGAAATTATGAGGAGGCCCTAATCAGTCATGAAAAAGCACTTAGGAACCGTTCACTAAACAAATGCCATACTAAAAACTGCAGTTATCGTCTACCTGAATGCTATTTATTCTACTCAACAGTAATGTGTATAATAATCTATTCCCCCTTCCCACACCTTCTTCGCAAACATCTTTTTCGTCGGTCACTGTAAGATAAAACTGGCTTCTTTACCGCCTGATCACTTGTCTGTAGCAACTACTTATAGCTGTTTGGGCGCACTTTATAAGGAAAAAGATGATACAAGAACATCATTAGACTGTTATAAGAAAGCACTTGCTGTTTATACAAAATCATTGCCAGAGAAACATTTAGATTTTGCTGAACATCATAATGATATAGGTCTTGTTTATATGAAAAATGGAAATATCCTAACTGCATTGACCAGTTTTGAAACTGCTCGAAAGATTGGATTAGATAATTTGAGGCCNTATAGCTGTTTGGGCGCACTTTATAAGGAAAAAGATGATACAAGAACATCATTAGACTGTTATAAGAAAGCACTTGCTGTTTATACAAAATCATTGCCAGAGAAACATTTAGATTTTGCTGAACATCATAATGATATAGGTCTTGTTTATATGAAAAATGGAAATATCCTAACTGCATTGACCAGTTTTGAAACTGCTCGAAAGATTGGATTAGATAATTTGAGGCCTAATCATCCTAAAATTATTGAGTACCAGAGAAATATCGAGACAGCTAAACAAAATTTAGAGTCTCATTCACATTTTTAAAAAACTAACTATAGTCTGGAAGTTGACGAAACAAATTTCAAACTACTACTAACCATCCCAAAATATAATGCCGTCCGTTGTTTTCTGAATCAATCTCAAAAACAATAAAAGACAGAGATGTGCGGTTTTTAGCTATCAAAAGACAACAGCTTAAGCTATACTTTCATAAGCAAAATCGTCTTTCAAAAACCTTCAGAAGATCAGTTTTCTACAGGATCTTTTGAAAACTCGCTCGGATTTCCAGAAGATTGTTTTCTCATAGATAGATAGTCCAAAGTATCCTCTATAAAATAAGCTCTACACAAAATGTTTGCTTTTCCTTGGTTCGGGTGCTACGGACCTTTTCCCGAAGCCTTATGACTTCTCTGTCGTTCGGTTTAGACTGCCAGAAATGCATGAAAACACACGTTGTCGACTATGCTGAATTTCGTGGCAACATTTGTTTCTCAAAAAAGTTTCAAAAACCTAGTACAAACAAATAGTAGGTGAAATATCCCATTTCTGTCTATTTCTGAATAAAATCCGAAAATTCATAGCCCACTCAAGATCCATCCAAATTATGTCAAAATATCAAGATGTACTCTCTTTTACCTGCTCCAACCGATTTTTAACTTGAGAACTTGGAATAGTAAAAAATACTCTTGTACTTCGGAAGATTTCTGGTTAACCTTTTCAAAAACCGAAGTATTTTCTGTTCGGTTTTAAAGCTGTTATTAAACTGCATACTATTGAGCAGGTAAAATAGAGTACATCTTGATATTGTGACATCATTTAGATGGACCTTGAGTGGGCTATGAATTTTCGGATTTTATTCAGAAATAGACAAAAATGGGATATTTCACCTACTATACGTAGCTTTTTTAGTTATGTTTGTTTTAATGATTTATTTTTTATACTAGCTGTATAATTGAACAGTTTGTGATAATGAAAATAAATATTTCATTGCTTTACAATGTATTCTTGACAAATATTCAAAATCGATCTGTTTTTACAAAATTAATCAGGAGAATTGTTAAGCGAAACGCCGTTATTGTTTTGACGTTGCTTAGATATCGGAAATGTTGGACATGACCCTCTCTGAGATATTCTCATTTTGTTTCCGCTATATAGAAGAATAAAACAGAATATCTACGTCGAAAAAAATTTCCAAAGTCACATAAGGAACACGACAAATGCTCAGTCTTGGTATAAACAGAACATCAAATTCAATAGTAAGTGCAGCAGAAAATAAATAAGTATATGGAAGAAAATGTGTCCTGTACAGAGAGAGAACGAGTTCAAATAGATTCCCTTTTTTCTGGAAAATCGTTAAGGACTCCTGTGTTTATGGTGCTTTCTTATTCACTCTAGCTCATTCTGACATGTTGCGAGATTCAAAAAGGAAGTGGACACCCTCACCTGTGTGAGATAATTTTTTCGTTTTTGATATGACTTCACCAAGTCATAAAATTGTATTATCAGGATACTATCCCGAAGTTATATTTCATAACTGTAGTCCGTTACAGCTCATCTGATAAACACAGTGTCGGATGACGTTGTTGTAAGCTTCGAACCCTGAATAGACTGCTGTTTAATCTTCCAACTTTTTGTGTAGTGCGAGTTAGGGAGCGCAGTCTAGCCATTTCCAGATCCCAAACAGAACTTCTTCAAGTAATAACTTCACAAGAAGCACATAAGAAGTAAGGTGCGCGCAATTCAAAACTTAAGCAAAATTTTTTTCTTCAATATTTATACATGATTTAATGCAGCTTCCCGAGCTGAATCTGAAAATGTTTGTTACAAGGTTTGAAATCAAGCTTTTAGGGCCAAAAACTCGAAATTTTTGAGTTTTTATAAATTTGCTATTTCTTGAAAACGAGTGGAGAACTCAAACACCTTATCTTACAGAACCTTAGACATTTTGTTGTCATGTTCTCCGTCGAAAACTGCATACTTTTAAAGCAATCCGAGATGGTGGATTGAGCAGCACTATACAGTAATAAGTCGTGCCTTAGTTATAATGGCTTTTAAACATATAAAGCGTAAAGTCAGTTTTTTAGAAATGATGAGGATAGATAGAGAGTATTGTTTTTATTCTCTCTACCGGACGGGAGAGTCTTACAACCTTTAAATGCGTGTCAGTCAGTCAGTCTGTCCAAACACCGACTATCGTCCAATAGATATGGCGGTGTCTATCGTCAGAACACATGAGTGTGACGGACGTACATACACATAGTCATGCGGCAGTGTGACGTACATACATATGATCAAGTGGAGTGTGACGGACGTACATACATAGAGTCACGTGGCAGTGTGACGAAAAAAAGAAATCTACCAATTGACTTTAGCATAACTTTGCAGACGGTTTCGAATATTTAAGAAAACTAAGAAATTGAAAAAACGCTACGCAACTGGTAAAATGATCATCGTCTAAAAGTATCAGACCACGACTGCCGGACTTAGAGAGGTCAGCCGAGTCCTCTCCAAAAAAAATTTTTTAAAGTTTTTGCTGATGATGTACTACTTCTGAAGAGGTGTTTGTTAAATCCCACCTCCTTCACGACAACTTCCTGTGTACACGACCTTCCCTTCTAAATTTCCTGTCGCCGCAACTGCGGGTCATTATTTTGGGACTTAACTTTTATTTGTAGAGCATGTAATGAAAGTTTCAGTCAAACCAAACAAAATAAAAGTCATTACATACGTGAAACTCTCACTGAGTACCTCATAAATGCGAAACGGTTGCATACTAAGTTCTTTGCAAAAAAGACTGTAAATATGTGAACAAAAACAAACTTTATTAGTAAAAATCTAGAATAACGAAAAGAGAAACGTAGATATAGAAGCAACTGTGTAATTGTTAAAATTCAATCGTTCAGTTCACCCCAAGGTTAAAATTCTTGGCCAGTTTGATTTATTTCTTTTTCTTTGGCTTGGTCGCTAAATGACCGGCTGTTGTACCTGCGACTGCACCTATTGTAGCTCCAATTACAAAACCCACGGGTCCACCAAACATTGCGCCAGTCATTCCGCCAGCCAACATACCACCGAAAAGTCCGTACCCCCTTCCTATTCAAGTGTACAAAGTCATATTCAAAGATAGAAGAACACAATGTCTGTTTGAGAAAAATGAGCCTTCTATTTTAAAAGTGCATTATCAGCTTCTGAATGAAGTAATGAAAACCATCATTTCAATGTGCTGAGAATGATCTTTTTTATTGATACATACACTTTTGTGAGTTTCGAGAAAATCGTATTAATCATCGTTTTTTATAGTTTAAATAAGAAAACCGCAGTTACTGCTATACCTCTGTAATTTTGTCTTTAATATAGAAAGTGCCGCACTTTCTATGAATCAAAGTGAATGCTCCACTTTAAGCGCAGCATTCACTTTGATGAACAAATTGGAATCGTTATAACGGGTTCATTTTCGCCGCTTATATGCGTTTTCATTTGTTTTTTGCACTATGAGAATGGAGATTTTGTAAAGACGAACTGTAAACCGAAAACTGACTAGTTGAAGTTTTATCCGCCACCCTTAAGTGCTCTATTCGAGTGAATACCTTTTTTTTGGTTTCTCTTCGTGTAATGTCAGAATCAACGAAAGTATTTCCATCTTCGAATCAACTAATTCTACAAAATTTTGCTTTTTAATAAAACTACCAGTTTTGATTATTGCTCATTTGGGGAACGTAGGTTTCGACAAAAACGTCATGATACCAAAAAAATGGTTTCACTTTGTGACTTCAAAATCGATATCCTTACAAGAAAATATAATTGCGCGGCCGGACTATCTTTATTGGTTTAATATTTTACAAAAAAGTTTTCTGAGTAGGGTGAGATTAGATTAAAATAAATTCGTTTAAACTTCGTGATTGTGTAAGTATAGTAACTGAACGTAGAGTTTTACAAAAATTGAAACCGATTTTACGGAATCAAAAATTTTTATGCGATGCTTTAGACGTTGCATTAAACGTTGGCGTAGTTTCAAGGAAGCTACTGGCATTTACTTATTACTAAAGTAAATAGAAATTCCAGATTTTTAAAAGTTCTGATTTTGGATACTTACCTTCGTGATTTTTTTGTTTTTCTCGGCTGTTATGTTCTGATTCTGACATTTGTTTTCGCCGCGTTGTACTCTTTTTTGTAGATATTGTTGTGCGATCCTTTTTTTCTGGTACTTAATCTTATATTTGCTTTATTGCCTGTATATAATATATATAGTGTACAGTCCACAATTTCTTTTCAAGTCTACAACGCTTATCTTTATATCATATCTTTTTCTGTAGTATCTGTTTTCGAAGAATAAAGAGTTGTCGGTTCTGCGTTCTTTCAATATATAAAGACAAAAGAAAATTTAAGTTTTATTTCTATCGTCCGAAAGAAATACAATCCCTCTCTCTGCCTCTATATATAGGACTGAAATAAGTGAATGTGCAGCCAATCTATTTCACTTTTTACGCATGTTACAGTCTAACTGTTTGCTTATATATTTGTATTCTTGTGTAATTTTATTGTTAGTTGAAAAGGGCTATTAGGCCGAAACCGGTCGCCGTCGTTGTCACATTATTACAAGGATTGGTACATTGCGTTTAATTATTTATGGACCACGTTCTGATAAAGATAAAAATAATGGTCTCATTTATATTTATATTTTAATTGGTTCATTCCTTGATTAAGATTTAGCACATTACCATATGTACTACTATTCAAATAAATCATAATTAATTTTCCATCTTCCTCTCTATCGAAAGTAGAAGTAGCATGTCAAATGGATGTTAGTTCTGACTGCTCACCGAGTACGGCTTGGGCTCCATTACAAGAAGATTTACTAGAAAAATTTAGTTTTTCGTGAATGGTGGGTCGACACTGTCTGTAGAGCTGAAGTACATAATAATAAATTATGTAAAAGAGTATTTTGTGAAATGAACCACGGACACTCAGTATCAGGTTGCAAACTTTGCACGGGTGTATGTCATTCAATGATTACTCAAACTAGTTTAACCGCGGTGCAAATGAAGGAAGACTTAATCGGGAAATACCGAACGGAGTACAATGTTTTTACCGCTTTCATAATCATTTAGCTCTAAATAGTTACTACGTTAAAAATAATATTTTTCCTAAATAGCTACAGTTTGACATCCCCTGTGACACATTCATACTTGTTCCTATTACCGATAAAGTTAAAAATATTTTCATTGATCATGAAAGTATATTATACTATTCTGACAGTCGGGGAAGAATACGCCGATTCAATAAAAATAGAACAATTACAACATTAGTGCAATTGAAGAATGAGACAAATAAACTTAATTTTTTTGTGGATAGCGAGAAAAATCTTTATGTGTCTGATTGGGCAAACGGTCAAATTCTGAAATTTGCCTCGTCGAATTATATCGACTTCAAATTTATAGCCGTTCAACTTAATCATCCAGAAGGAATTTGGGTGGGCTATGAGGAGAATTTATACGTAGCGGACACAGGAAATAATAGAATACAAAAGTTTGATTTAAACAATGGAAAGAGAACAACGTTCGCCGCTGAATTGAAACAGCCGGTACAAGTGATTGTTGACAGTGATTTATCAGTATATGTCTTGGAAACGGGAAATCATCGAGTACAAAGATATACAGAAAATAGTCATGGTGTGACAATTGCTGGAGGTAAGACAGAGACAGAATCTGTTTTTGTTAGTATTGGTATAAAATACGTGCATATTTAAGGTACTACTGGTAATGGTAGTGATCAATTGAATAGTCCTCATGGTATGGCATTTGACTCATCAGGATATTTGTACGTTATGGACACATTAAATAATCGTCTACAAAAATTTGATCATCCCGGAACGGACGCATGTATATACAATACATTACTTTAAAGTAATTTAAAGAAGAACTTTTGTCATCTATATTTGTTTTTAGGTTCCAA